GGTTTGTAATTGCATGTAGCCAATTAGCTACACTTTAACCCCAAAAATACAAAAAAACAATTAGCTACATTAATTGCATATTTCCTTTTGATCGGAGAGCAACATATATGGTGGACTCATCATCCCTAAAAGCAACGAACAATCTACATATTCTAGATTGATCGAGACTATGCGAGTTTAAGATATGCGATTCTTTTTTCTATATACTTTTTCTATAAATTTTCACAAGACTAAACCATCCGTTTGAATAACACTATTCAAAAATATTATACTTTGTATATTAATGGACCATAAAGTTGTGTATATATGTGTTTCATCTCTATCACTAGATTTGATAAAACAAAATCTGTGATAACTATCGATTTGACTAACAATCTTTTTTTACCTATCAGTGACACTTAGGGTGTATTAATACATTTCCAATATTTTAGTCCAAACTTAAAAGCACATATATTTTCGGTACATTGATGTTATAGTCAACTTCGAAGTGAGTAGTGGGTCACGGTCTTCACGTTACTGTTCTATATTCAACCTAAATAGACTCTTCTCCTACTAATGATAATTGATAGGTCATAGCCTCCTCATAGCCATAGGTGACTTCTTTTGTATTGGCTACTTTTAACAGAACCGTATTCAATCAACAAAAATATTGTTAGAGACGGCCGGAGGATACAAAATTTGGCCAAAATCCAACGAAACCGAATCTAACCCAATTAGAACTGAGATATTCATCCCCGACTGAAATCGTTTTTAACTTGAAGCACTGCATTACTGTCTTTGTTCCAAACACAAACTTGAATAATGTGATTCTTCAAAGGTCTCTCACACAACCCAACAAACATACATTCTGATATATAATACATTATACATATCCCATATCAAATCTCAGAATGTAGATAGCTTTTTAAGGTGTTTTGTTACATAGTATGAAAGAGAGAGGAGGTGTTTATAGCAGGCCTGCGATGCCGATCCACGACGATAAAGCGGTCTTGATACGTTCCAACACATCCCACATCTTAACTCCTTTATGGCAAACTTGAGGGAAGCGTTTCACTTTAACCCTGTGAATGGCGTTGCCGGAAGAATATTTGGCACACGCACTAGGCGTTTTATTACCTTTGTAAGCCTTACAGATGTAGCTTATGAAGTTTTCATAATCCTGCAGTAAAACACAAGAACAGATTGAGCTTAGTTCAAACGCACGAAACATCGAACACAACAAATACAGAGAACTTCTAGTCCCTCTGATCAAATGGTTTCTATGCAGCACATCCAATCTTCATAGATCATGAAGAATCTTAACCCGTTTGAGCAGGTGGATGCATTTTGTGACGACAATTTGAATGAACAAATTGAATCATCACCCAAATACGTAGATAATAATCAAGCTGTTTGCTCCAAGTGACAGTTCAGTTCCTATCAACCCTTTCAACAAGCCTATGGACAATTCCACTTCCGTCTGCTAACCACAACTAAAACTATACCCAGATTCTAAACTCCCTAATTCCCATCAAACTCACAAGAACAAGATGATTCCACATTTGGAAACCGCACATCCAGGTGATTTTGAAACGAAGCATACTAAACGAACCTCATAAAGTGGCTGACCATCCACGACTACCCATGGCACGTACTTATGAGGCGGCTGAAGTGCATTTGTTTCTGCAGCATACTGCAACTGAAGCTGCAGAAAATGAAAAAGAATACACATTAAGCTCCGAAACAAGAAAATGATACATCGGATATCTTTCTATGTATAGGAATTGCTCAGGATATCCTTCTATGTTCTTTCATCAACCAGACAACAACACCATTGCGAAATGGTATCATGGATACAGGAACCTAAAATTCCAATGCTAAAAAGGCAATCAGCAAGGGAATGAAAAGTTATGTTCTTGACAATAAATTGCAATCGAAACAAGCAAGAACACTTATAAACAAACTACACAAAGAGGAAGGACTAACCTCGTTTCCATGTCCACTGTTAAGGCAATCTGTAACGGGTTTTGAGTTCAGATTGAGCTTCTCATAACACGTCTCCCACTTGTCGTACTTGTGTTCAGTCACCAAACTCTCAATACAGAAGATAAACGGGAAATGATCGCTCTGCAACGAAAGTGACGATCCTACTTATCTTACAACCATTCCTCATCACATCAAAGTTATGTTTCAATTGTGACAGATAATAATCAGATCTCATCATCAAACTTACCAATTTAGGCCAAGCATCAATTGCACAAGCTTCCACGGTATCCAATAAGCATTCAAATGCCCCGTGCTGCATAAACAACAACAAGATTTATCATTTATGCAATCGCTACAATCATGCTTGACCAATCTCAGATGCAAATATCATCAAATTTCACTGACGAATTCTTCCGCACCACAAAATTAAAGCTTGATTTAATCGAATTGGAGACACTGATTTCGTAAATTGAAGAAAACAAGCTAAGGGAAGAAGCAAGGAAGACCTGGCAAACGACAGTGACGTTATCGGGTCGGAGCTTGGTATTGCCCCACGGAGACAGATGCAGATCGACGATGGATATGAGATCGTCTTCGAAGAGCTTCACGAGGTGGTTAACAATGAAGGAAGAACAGTACGGACATAGAGACTCGTAGTACAGACCCAAGGAGACTTTCTGAGAATCGGACGAGGAAGATGGAAGAGAAATTCCAGAAAATTCAGATGATGATGATGCAAACCCGACAAGAAAAACGAAGAGAAGAAGTTTCGACGCCATGAATTCAAAATGCAAGGTGCTATGTCGTCTCCTTCTTTGTTCTTTAAAGACAAGACAATTCGAGGGAAAGAGACGACAAAAATTTATCATCGGTTATGGAACACGTGTCGATTACAAAACCACGTGTTTTACTCGACATCGTCTTGTAATTCGCAAATATGTTCCTCTACTTGATAGATCGGATCGTTGAAACGAACAAAGTAAACGCAGGTTTTGCAAATTTGGGCAATATATTAAACGCACGAACATCTCTCATCTTCACGTTATGAATAAGAAATTGTTTCTCTATCGCTTCAAAATCAGTCATATAATGATATAAATTGTTTCACTAACAAAGACTTGCAGACAAAAAAGCAGTTGATGAGTACACAAAGCTTTAGATGTTACTCGGATACATAAACACTCGAACTCGAGCTCCCTGCAAAAACAAACAACAAACTTTGTTAGAACCTAAATGCATCTGGAGTTAGTATACAAAACATATAAAGATGAAATGATTCGGAATGTACCATTGATTTAGGAGGCAAGTTTGATGTGAATTTGGCTCGAACCACGCCGCTGTTACCGTGTGGCCTTGCAACCTTGCCCCAAATGCATCGGTAGTGACTACCGTTCTTCTTGGTCTTGGCTTTGTAGATGTAACCCAATCGTTTCCCTTTGTACCATGCAACTTCCTCTGTAGTGTTAACTCCTTCGATTTGGATTAGGGACGTGTTTGGGTACTGGTTCGACTTCGACCTATTCATATTTACCCATAAATAGCTCAAGGACACAATTACCATTAACTACAAAGCAGAAACAACAACACTTTGCAACTTATCACACACTAAATGGTAGATCGTTTGCTTATTTCCAATTGGTAAACGCGTAACTTGAGACTATGATTATAAGCAAAATCATGATCATGCCACATTTTGTAGAGTACTGAATTTGATTATTCAGGAAGTGAAGAAAAAGGGAACTGTTTTTCTCAGGAATTAACAATATCTGAATCCCACAAGCAACTCATCTTAAGGTTATAACAGCAATATCAACCAAGATTCACAATTTATACGAGCCAGATTAAAGACGACTCAATCTATAGTAAAGTGCAAAATGAAGAACAAAACATGTAAATAATGACGCACCTTTTGTAGCCAAGTATTGTTCCTCTGACATAGAGTCTGCAATTGCAACACCGAAAGTAAAAAACTTAATTAAGCTTTTAATGGAGAAAAATGGGTAAAACAGATACTAAAACTCATCGGAAAAAATCAGCTGAGAAAACCTAACAAGCCAGATCCAC